ATTTGCTTGGCTTTAATGTAAGCCCCGATTTCCGTACTGCATCCAAAAACTCGGCTAGTACCTCTACCCCTTCGCTAACCGTTTTGGTTGCAATAATTACTTCATCAACGTAACTTATAATCTTGTTTCTATTTTGTAAACCTCGTATAAGTTGAATTATCATTTCTTGGAAAACCATTGGAGTATTTCGTAATCCAAATGGCATTACATTGAATTCAAACAGTCCCTCCGGAGTTATAAATGCTGTCAACTTTTTATTATCCTCATGCAATCGAATATGGTACTATGCCGCCGTCATATCAAGAGTCGTGAAAAATGTATGACCTCCAAGTTTTGACAATTGCTCCTTCACAATTGGCATTGAAAACTGCTTTTTGATTACAACTGCGTTTAATGCTCGGAACTCCACACACATTCTGTCATCTCCATTCGACTTCTTTACAATTACAACGGGAGCTGCATAAGGTGATGAACTTTGACGTATGATATTATGTTTTAACAATTCGTTAATAATCGTTGTCACTACTGGTCTTTGTATAAAAGGCTCTTGATATTGTCTACCTACAACTGGCTTCTCGGTGTTCATCTGAATTTCCATACATGTAGTCTTACATCGTCCAAGCTTTGCTATATCTTTGGCGAAGCAATCGTCGAATTTTGCAATAACTTACATCATCTAGCTCGTCAACATTCAAGGTTTTTTCAATGTCGTAATTTTCCGCGGTTTTCGTCTGTACTTGTATGTTGCCCGATTGAAGAACTAAAGTACAATCCTTCTGACATAAAACATCCCGTCCAATAAACACATCGTATGGCATAAATTCATCAGGCAATACTTGCAACTTCGTATTTAATTTTCTATTTGTAATTCGACATCGATACCTGCTGTGCTATAAACTGTTGCACTCCCAAAACCTTCTAATTTCTTAATGCAAGTCTTCTTAAAAATATTGGCTTTCGACTCCGTTAAGAGTGACGTATCACTGCCCCGTATCAATAAAAGCTAAGTATTGCTGACCGTTTAATTCCACGTTTGACATTAGTGGTGGATATACATACATTCTCACTTTAAACTTTAGTAATTGTTGGATTGTCGGAACGACAGGACTTTGCTTCGTGACCCACCTTGCTACATTTACTGCACCTAGCTTTACGTTGCGGCTTGGTACATTTTGCTGCGATATGCCCAAATTCATTACAATTGTAACAATTAACCAAATTCATGCTCGTATTCGTATTTTGCCCAGAATAATCTTTCAAATTCGTATGACTCTCTACATTCTTTAGAGACGATGGTAAATTTTGACCGCAACAAATCATTGCACGTCGGTAAACTCATTGCCATAAGAGTTCGGGTTAAATTACTATCGTTTAACCCTCCAATAATGTACCCATTTATTGACGCTTCGTCAATCTTACCCATACGAAAGCAGACCAACGCAGGAACACCTTTTGTGCGTCAATTGACAACTGCTAACAAAACTTCTTTCTCACACCAACTATATGCCTGTTGTAGCTGCGTTACGTTTTCTATAAATTGCTCTGCAGTTAACGTTCCTTCCAATGATTTCGTGGACTGAACTTCGCTTCCATTCACGTTGTGTCGTAGCTACCAACGGTGATAACCCTATTGTCGTCGCTGTATTATTAATTTCATGTTGTGGAGTCGTACACGTTGCCGCCTGAACAGAGATTGTGTTATGAGATGAAATATCGTAGCTACTTACATTGGCCAAAACAGTTGCTAAACTTGGCGCTAACGTTGTATGGCTCACCTGAACTGCCACAAGATCAGTCACAGACTTGGCAAGCCCCGAAATCATATCACGCATCTCGCCATTTGCTTCTGCATAGCAGACATTTCACTTTTTTCTTCAACTTTTTCAGCGTCAACTTCTTCTTGATCAACCCTGAGCGCATTCAATTTGATCATTTTTCCCTTATTTTTAGCAGCTTTACTTTCTGTCACAAACGTTGAAAAGTGATGAAATTCGTTGCCTCCGTTATGAATTGCCGTCACTTCCGTGCTGTTTGAACTTTATTTGTCGACTCCTAAAAATTGAATAAATGCTGCTGACAGTTCTATCTACAGTTTTTTTTCCCTCAAAATTCTCAAATGTTGTTACAATTGAAAATAAAAAACCAGTTGCCTTTGGTTTTTTTCCCAAAGCTCACTTCGATTACTCGTGTTTTTCCCTTTTATACGATGGGACTTTTTCCGTTGCCATGGACAACATCTGCTGCCTGTCTTGTGATTTCTCTTAAAACGTATAGATCCAGCGTGATATGGTAGACATTGGTATCCCAGCGAGGTAAACTATGCGGCGTGATTGTTTCGTTTACTCCGATCGATGAAAATTAGCACGCCGATGTCGTAGGAAAAGTAACAGATCACCCCTTTCGATTACCATAGGGACGAAGAATTCTTCTATGCTAAGATCAATTGTAGAATAGAAAAAAATTCATATTAATTTGCTTTATTTATAAAAGTGCATGTACATTTGTATTACGTTATGAAAATTAGTATTTTTGTATAAAAAGGAATGACTTTCTTTTAATTTTACGCTTGAGTCTCTTTTGTTCTTTTCCAAGCAACGGCCTTTGTTGAATGAAAAGTTTAAACATAAAAATAAACAACATTTTTAATAAAAATAGCAGTTCACCTAAACACAACTAACTTTCTGCAAATTTTCTTTAAATGCTTGATGATTTGACGAAATAATGCAAATATTTAGATATAAATTTTATTTCATCAACTTATATTTGTTGTTTACATATTTTATTGTAACGTTTTTCATGTACGTACTTGATTGTAAATATGTACGCAATAGAATTTAGCCGCATAGCTTACTTTTATGCATTACCTGGTATCTAAGAATTCTGCATAGAATTTTCTTCGAATCATTCTTCAAATAAAAATGTAAGCGGTGAACCATTATCCCGCTGGGGAACGTTGGCACCAGAAATAAAGGGATGTTCAACTTATTCCAGTGTGAGAGCGCCTCAAAATAAGGGTTTTTTTTATAACATTTTCCATTATGGCCAGATCGAACAAAATAACAATTTTTGGGTATTTAAATTAAAACAATCAACATTTAGTACGAATAAAATTTACTATATAGTGGTTATTTATTATATGGAGAAACTATTTAAATTTGTTTAAAGTATATTAGAACAACTGACTTTTGACCTTTCAATGCCCAGTAAAAGGATTTAAGCTTGTTAGCTCTCAATCATTAAATGTTTTTAATCATTTTCCAATGAAAATAATACTATGATGTTTCAAATTACAAAACCTTTCATCAGATACCTTTAAACTTTACAAATTTATTTAATTTTCATTGTTTTACATTTTTTATAAGTGGTCAAAGCCTACTGAACTCGATCAGCTGTCAAAGTTCAGTAGGTTTTGACGTTTAGCAATTGCACTTTCACTTCCAGTGAGAGAGGAGTTAAAGCATTATCGTTTAGCTTTGAAATGTTTCCAGTACTCGTTGATTCTGATAATTTCTCACTGCCGTTAGAAAAAATTTCTTCCTCTCTTCTTCGTTTGTTCGATAGTTACGTCGGCGCTCTAATTGTTTGCAAACTTATTATCCACGAATTCGTACAATTCTAGGATTTTGAATTCCACTTCTGAAATGTCAAGAATGTCCAATCTATTTATTTTAAATTATTATTAAATGAATATAATGTTTTCTCAAAAGAAATGAAATTTTTTTTCAAGCGCCTGCTAACGACTAATGCATTTGCTTGCTTGTTAACGAATGCCCTCACTCGATTAAACTGTCGGTGACAATAAATCGCCGAATTTTTTCGTAGAATTTTTGAGCATTACCCCTGTCGGCCAGCTGATCAAGCTCTTTGTGCTCACACATTTATGTTTGATGTATTAAAAACTCTATTGACATATTAGGAGAGGATACTTGGTCTAAGACGTGAGCAGCCACTCATTATTCCCGTGCTGCTATATGGTGCAGAGGCATAGACGATGACAACATCGGATGAGTCGACCTTAAAAGAAAAAGATTGTGCGAAAGATTTATGGTCCTTTCTGCATTGATCGCGGCGAATACCGTATTCGATGGAGTGATCAGCGAAGTAAGAAACAGTGGCTGCGCTGCCTAGGTCATGTCATCTGTATAGGTCCGTATCCAGCTCTCAAGTAATTGCTCAAGAAAAAATACATTATTAAGTAAATTTGACAGCTGGTTACGCATTGTGAATGATCCACATTAGAAGAGCAAAAGAGAGTAAAAAAAAGATAAACTTTGTGCGTAATATGTATGTATGTATGTGTAAAGTAACATAAATATTTTCATTGCGATTTAAGGAATGTTGTTGATGATTAAGTTTTATACAGCATTTCAAATTCATAATAATGATTTTAACTAATTTACGAGGAATATATCGATTACTTCCAATTTCCTTCAAGAAACAATTGTTGATTTCATGTTTCTTCGCGAAACCAGGAAAGCCATATTCGCATTTTATTGAAAAATTTTGTTAAAAATTAGTGCTAGATGGGCACAGCTCCAAGTGATGCACCCGAAAGCGAATGGAGTGATGATCTTCTTCGATACTCTACTCTATAGAAGTAATAATGTCTTCAATGACGGCGTATCTGAGAATGTGCATGATCAACTAGAGTAAACGAGGTGCAAAACCGATCCATAGTTGCTCGAATTACTGTTATCAAATGGTAAGCCCAACTAAGTTTAAATCAATTAACAGCTACCAAAAAGACCAATTCCTCTTTGAAAACCAGATGTCTAAACAAACACCCTCTACTCTATCATACCCTTACTCTATCATAAATTTTACATAAACTAAGAATTTCGACCTTAGTTTATTAACAGATTTTAGCAAACACAAAATTACTTAGTTTATGCTTTATTTACACAAAAATTAATTCTCTGCTATAATTGAAGTTCATGGGAGTATAGGCCTCATATATGTAGGCATTGGTTAAGTGGGATTAGAATGAAACCATTTCTAAATATATAAGTTCAAACTTTATTCGCTAATCTTTGTACATTTTGAACAACTGAATACTAACAAATATTAAAAGATATAGTTTTGTTATTAGAAGAATACTTATTCAAAAGCGATGAATTGAGTTTTTAAACTATTTTCGTATTTCGTTTTTCTATTTGTACTTGTACACATTAGTAAACAGTTTTCAAGTCGTTTAAGTAAGATATTTAAATAAAATTTTTTTTTTTTTAATAAATTACTACGAACTACCAAGTATACATTAAAACAATTAGCATAATGGAAACTTTAATGAAGGCACATTTTTGGCATTTCCACTGTAATGGTGAACACCCGTTGAGCTCAATATTTAGAGCGGTAGCTCTTCAGCTTCTTCATCGTTGACTGCGGGCGCTTGTTCACTGTAAGCCAACTGTTGGGCATCCAAGCTGCGGGCATATGGATAAGATGAGGCAGCGCCCGAAGACCAACCAGCAGAGTTGCCACCTGACCAACCAGCCGCATTATAGCCACTACCAAGAGCACCACCGAACTTATTGCCCAGTCCACCGAAGAAGCGTGAACCACTGACAATCAGAGCCAACAACAAAGCGATTTTGGCAACAATCACAGCTTTGGTGGTAAGCAGAGCCAAAGCACCGAGCACAATGGGTATGACAGCAAAGAGTTTGGCACCAACAGCGATGGCAATCGGACCCAACATCTTCTTCAATTTACCACGGCCTAAAAAGAGAGTGACAAATATTGTTTTTTAAAAGTTTTAAGGCAACGTAATATTAAACGAATGGGCTCATTCGTAGATGTGAGGTTTTGAGGCTTACCTTCATCGAGTGCGCGTGCCATATCTTGTGTAGCTTCAGCAGGAATTTTCACTTCCAAACTGTGGGAGCCCAAGAAATCAGCAGCGTTTTGCATAGCAATGTCGACCAAGCGTCCGTTGCGTTCTTCAGCATTTTCCGGTAATTGCGCATATATTTCGTTTTCGCTCAAAGCTTTACTGCTGCGTGCCACAGCGGAAGCGGAATCTCTGCAAAAATACAAAATATTGAAGTCGAAAGTCAATGCGAAAAAAAGAGATTCTAAGAAAAAATTTTGAGGGGAATAAAAAAAATGTGTGATATTAGTTTCATTTGGATTGCCTCCAGCGAAATCGATTGAATAACTGTGTTGTTATTTTCAGTAAGCTTAAGCATCATTAATACCGAGACGTCGATTATACAAACGAGCTCAAATCAAGATTCTTTTAAGCCATAGACTCCATTATTTCAAGTAATTATATTACGAACTCTCCCTTACTGACTCGAAAGTAAAATTTTTCACATGCTTTGCCCTCGATACGAAGCTTTGCTTTCAGCACTTTATGAACTTTTATGATAAGATAAGGATCAATTGAGCTTTACTACTAAACTGAGGATATATCATGATAGCCAATTCTCATTACGTCTGGATTACATCAGTGAAGTCAAAGTAGAGCATATGCTATCAGTTCGTTCAGCATTTTTTCTTTTCTTTTTGTCTTAATTTTAAACTTTGAGAATGCGCACTAATTTGCTTTACAGCTTTTGAAATTGAGCACGCAGTTGGCTTGTTTAAATTTCACTCAATTGTTATCACATCCTTTCGAGGTTATGTAATCACATTTAATGGACTGTATTTTAACTTGCGTAATTCCAATGTACAAATACATAATATTTGTATTTCTTGAAGTTGGGTATTACAATAGTTCCAATCTTCTCTTTTTACGTTACACACATTCACACACACCTTTTGAACGAAATACCATTGACGAGTTCGATATTATTGCTTCTAGCTGCTCGGTTCAAAGCCGTAATACCCTTGACGGCAAAACAAGTGGTCATATCCTCAGCTTCGAAGCAGCTGCCAAGGTAGCGGGCGGCAAGCGCCAATGAGCTGCCATTTTCACCTTCGACGCGATTATCTTGTACACTTGGCGCGGCCCAAGCGCAGCTCACGAAGAGCAAGGAAGTGGTGGCTAAGATAGCGAACACTTTCATTTTCACGAATTTTTTTTATTTAGATAACACGCCGAAGAGAACGTTTCGAATTCGTTAACGCGTCACTTTTAGTTCAATAATTCGTTGCGGATGCGGGTACGTGCAATGCTCGAGAGCGTTAAGATGACTTTGATGTACTTGTCTCCAGAAAGACACCCTTTTATACTGGTTCCCAAAAAAGTACGGAAATTGTGAGTTTGCCGCTGTCGCTTTCAACGCTACAGCTCTGCGACGCTGCAATGCCGAAAAATTAAATAAAAGCAGCAGCAGCTGAAGCAGCACCGTGTAGCAACGTGCAAGAAAAATGTAGTGAATGAAGCGGACAAGACGCGCGATGCCGCGAACACAGTAACGCCGAAAAGTGTTGAACGCGCACACGCACTCTCATAAAGTGGCGCGAAAACAACACAAATCACACAAAAAAAGCTGAAAATAATGCGAAAAATAAATAAACTGTAGGGGCATTAAAACTTCATGTGCGCGTCTATAACGGAGAAAAGGCCGAAAACAACGAGAAAAGCGAAACATTTAAAAAATGGCCCATAAAAGCAAAAAGACGCAATGGAGCGCAGCCGCAGTTGTCATAAAGCGGTTGCTGTCAGCGGAGTTCGAGTTAAGCAGCAACATTTTGAGGCAATTATGATGGCAGTCAATGCTACTTGTTTTCCCTGTTTCTTTGGTTGACGCCATCACGCGTTTCACATAAAAAGTAAAAACTTAAGTTAAATGTTGGTCACTTCCATAGCAAATAATTGTCGAAAAAGCCAACGCACATGCGCCGCGCATGTAGTGTAGCTGCGCGCATTGCAGCACTTACACAAGTAAGTCTGTGCAGGTATGCTTGCGCGCCAATTGGCATCAACGCAAAAGACGTATAAATTTCGCTTTTACGCCCTCTACAAGCCGCCCCGGCGATGTCGGTTGACGGCCGCACAGGGTGCAGTATCTGTCACCTGTACAGTCAACTGTGGTTTGCGCGGCGCAGTTTCTGAAAACTTCCTCAGTTCTTATTGTACATATTTCGAGCGTCTGTAATGCGTAATGAAAGAGCAAACGACTTTCGACGAGGCCTAAGCAAATTTCGCATATCCGTTTTTTTGCTGTTTGTTTTGTGTCTTGCTATTACGACTCATTTGAAGATAAGCTCTTGTTAATGGTGATATCCATAACTCGGTAAATATATTGCGTTGGGTGTGAAATTTCTCAACTGATTTTACATAATTTTTCTGTTGTTATTTCTGCGGAACCACCCATTTTAATGTTAAAGTTTGACCTAGATTCACAAGCAAATTGATTAATCACACATTTGATTTTTCGGTGCGCTTGCAACATTTGCAAAGTGAAATAATAGAAATTGAGCATTTCAAGAAATGACAGATCCGAGCTTCCCGTCAACTCGTCAATTTATTGCTCAATTCTTCAATGAAGATTTGTGGATTTTATTTATTATATCATAATCGATTTCAGTTTGTACATAAACAATTTGTAATAACAAAGGGCCCAACATTTAAATTTCGACGGAATCGAATGAGTTACAATCAAATTAGTCTATTATGTATATGAGATAACCATCAACCCGATGATCGTAATACATTACATTAGAGCTAAGAGATTTCTACCAAACTCTAAACGAATTATATTCATATTAAGCGCTAAACCAAATAATTTTTAAGAAATCTTGTCCACTTACTTTCACTAAAACATCACACGTTTTTACCAACTTAAACGGATTAAAGATAGGTGGGAACTTGGAAATAAATATACAGAGTATATTGAGGGCAGAGAACATACTTTCGTCATTACTTAGTTTTACTCGAGAGCATAATTTTCAAGCAATATAATATATACATATACTATGTATATCTCAAACATTGGTCGACATATTCTGCAAAAAGTTTGTTAGAAATAACGAAAATCATTATATGGAAGTTGGTGCAATTCGTAGACGTATTTCACATTTTTTCTTCAATAATCTATAATATGTCCATTAACCGTTCAGTTAATTTAGTTAAAATGTCTTACATATTGACCCATGTATACGATATAAACCCGACCGGAAGTTTGATAACCTTACATTAAGTTTATAAAAGATATAGGTAATATTGATCTGATACTATACATATGTATATTTCGATTGTTGCAACAATTGTGAGGTGACCAAAAGTACAATATTATATTCTGTAACAATATGTCGCCATAGTATATTAAATGATATGTTTCGAAGTTCTGCTTATTAAAACCGTCAGCCACATACTTTTCACAAATATTTTACATACACAGTAACACCTAACTAATGTAATTCTCTGTACCAAATTCAACTTTTGTAGCTCACTACACCTATTTGCTTTTCGGTTATTAGGCATTTTGTGGCCGATTGTGACCTTCTACATTACCAGATAATGCCATCCACATTGGATCTATATATAATATATAGTATATGTATATAGTATATATTCTTAATTTCAAATCTTACTTCGATTCTTGTGGACCGGTGTGTTAGAATCTGCAATTTTTATCGATTTTCCAGTAAGAATTTCATGATATTTCATTGATTGGAAGTGAAGTTATTGCGTTTTAAGTATCAGTGTGTTTGTGTTATCGGTGCGAAAATTAGCTTCGAACAAATAGCCAACATTAAATTTTGTTTTAAAATTAGTAAATTGTTTATGTCGATGATTGCCTATCCCGTAGCAGAGTGCAGGAGTGGTTTCAATGCTTTTCAAAGTAGTCGTGAGGACATAAGGGCCAATCAAAATCCGTGATCACGTGAAATTCCATCGAAACTATTCATCAAAAATCAGCCGAATTCGCCATTAAAATTCATGGAAATTGACTGCCGACCCAACATTTCACAGAATCCAACATTCCAAGGACAATTATTTGACCAAAATTCACATTTTAAAAATTAATCACCCCACGTATTCACCTGATATGGCGCAGTGCCATAGAGGCCATTCAAAAGGCTTCCACCGGCATACTGGCGGCCATACCGGCCCACGAGCTAAAACACTTTTCGACATGCTTTTGGATCGTGCAAAAAGCTGTATTGAAGCAGAATGAGACTATTTTGAATAAAATAAATTTGTTTTGCCGAAAAAAACCATTTGTTCTGTTGTTTTTTTTTAAGTCCTGTTTACTTTGGAATGCACATTGTACATTACGATGTAAAACGTCAACCAGAATCTAAGCAGTTTTATATATATAAATACATACAACATATACGTACTATATGTAAAACTTATACACTGATCGTCTTATACATATATTCGGCAAAAAATTTGTTAGAAAAATTAAAATCATTATACGAATTGTATTCATTTTACGCACAATGACATACTATTATAAGTCAAATATTTTCATTGACATAACTCAAATATTGGCCCATATATCCAGCATAAAGTCACCAGAAAGATCGAAAATCTTTATATTAAGTATATGGGGCTTAAAGAAGTATTGCCCCGATTACACCCACTTTGGATACAAAGACTTACTGCTGCAGGAAAAGGATTCTATCTGAATTTCGATTTCATATCTCACACATTGACCGATATTTACGAACAAAAGTCAACTATAGGTACTAGGGTCCACATATTCGGTCAACGAATCGAGGTTAATTTAAAATTGTGCTATATGGGAAGTGTGGTTATTGTCTGATTTCGCTTCTCACAGAGAAACATAGGAATATGAAAAGAATGCCACTTTCGAAATTTTATCGAAATCTGTCAGTCGGGTCCCGAGATATAGAAACACCAAAAATGTCGACGAGCTTTTAGTAGTTTTGACAGTACCGTTACATGGTTAGTGAACAGGGTTTTCATCCGATTTTCACACCATCGGTAGAAGTTCTTATAATATTTGCGCTGGGTGAATTTGGTTGTTGTAGCTTGAGTGGCTTAGGAGGTATGCTCATTAAACATATTAGAGGGAGGCCACGCCCACATTTTCAAAATTTTTTATCCACATTAGTTTAGTGATTAGTTATGGCACTTTATATGTTTTCGACTAATGGCGATTTGTGGGCGTGGCAGTGGTCCGATTACGTTCATCTAAAAACTCAATTTTTTTTTATTGCAGGGTCAGCATACTCTAAAACTAATCTATTAAATTGTTAGTTAATATTTTATACTGATCTTTGATTAAGTTCTGTGGAACCACTGAAGTGTAGCTAACTACGATCTTTGAAACAAAACTCTGAAACTTCCGATAACATACAATATTTGCTAGAAGTCAAGCCTCACTGTTATCAACTTCAGAAAAGTGGAGGGATTAAAACAAACCATCATATCACAAATATTCCTAAGTAGTAAAGCGAAATTTTCAAAATCCTCGACATTTTAAAATAATAAAATTCATTTTTTTTATATCTCTTTATACCCTTACTATATATATTTATATTCTTTGATCAGTTGAGCAAAATTTTCACTTTCGATTTCTTGGCAAGCGCATCTGAACTTTCTCAAAGATTACACAATTACGAAATTTGGTTTACACAGTCTAGCGCATATTTAAATGCTAACATATGTGCACATTGTGTGAATGTGTTTGTTTGAATAAACTTAAAGTACATTTTCTCTGCTGTTTGCACTCGTAAATTGTACTACAGACTCAGAGGCAGCTTCTAAGAAGTTTGTGACAACAAAAGTTAAACGTGATCGTCACGTAAATGTACTAACTTCAGACACCTGCTAAGAGCTTCTACAATTTGATTGGCTCTCAGCTTTAGTGTTTCGGCGCAGTTATAACATTTCCAGTTTCATTATTATTTCCGCCACCTGGAACTTCAGTACTAATTTTCCTGTGCTTCTTCTTTTTATACTCTTGCAACATGTATGTATAACAGTTTTGTTTACCTAATAATAGATTATATAGGTTATATATTGTATAAAATCCTGATTACGGTCTGTCCGTCCGTCTGACGATGCAAGCCGTAAGATTAAGATATTTTAACGAAACTTGGGACACGTGTTCTATGAAGTGCAGACGAGTATTTGAACCACTGCCACTCCCAAAAAAGGCATTCATCGAAAACCTATAAAATGCTCTTAATTAAGGTTGGTGTCAGGTTTTAAAAAAAAATATTTTGTAATAATATATATTACTTCAAAAGTTATACCATAATAT